TTTCTCCCCCCTAACACATCCCACCTCTGCGCAAGGGCTGCCTGCGCCGGACAAGCCCTCTCGACCGTGGGAAGCAGCGCTGCAATGTGCTTTGAGCTCTTCCCCCCACATTGGCTCCAAGGGCCTGTCCAAGCACTGACGATGCACAGCCCCGAGCCACGACCGCTGCAGGAAAAGCTGAGCCAATCCTACAGCCTGGGGGAAAGCATCAGCCAAAAGTCACTCAAACAAGGAAGCGATTTGTCTTCTGCTGGCTGCGCTTCCCCCTGACAAAGGAGCGTGGAGCAGGGAAGTCAGCTGTGATCACGTGCAGCGTACCGACCGAGCAACGACCACCGAATCGGCGACTGGGAGCGCTCACACCAGGAGCCTGACAGATAAAACACAACAGGGGGAAAAAGGATGAAAAAAGAAACGCCATGTGACCCCTCGCTCGATCCGAGCCAAGCATCGCATCCAACAGTTCTGAATACGAAACACACACAATGAGCTCCAGCGAGTAATTAATCCCTTCAGGAACACTGTAAGTGATTGCAGACAGTTCACCAAGAACAAAAAACTGGAAAGTCATTGAAAAAATTACCATAAAACGTTTCTTTTTCTGCTCCAGTGTGAAACCCAATGAGATCTGCTAGAAGATCCCTCTGCTCTGCAAAATTTAACAGCGATGGATTTAAGCTGTTTCTCTAACCCCCCCCCTTCTCCCTGCCAAGCTGACAGCCGTGAGAAAGCAGCCCAGCCCCGGCGAGCGCAGCAAGAGCCGCCCATCTCCAGCACGGGCTCAGCTCCTGCCTCGGCGTCGCTGGGACACAGCGGGGGAGGATTTCTGCAGGAGAAGCACGGCACCGAAAGGCGTCCACAGTATCTCACGGCTCCACCACCGATCCAAACTCTGTGGATGACTTCTGCAGGTCAGGAGCGCAGGAAACACAGCAAGCCCAGCTTACGGAGCAGGACGAGCCCCTCGGTGAGGGGATTTGGGGCTCCCTGGTGACGCTCAGCTGTGTGAGCCAGCCCCCCCGCCGGCCTCCACCTCCCCTCTCCCTCTTGCCCCCTTCACCTTCATCCGTGTCGAGGAGCCGGTCCTCCAGCTCCGGGCTCAGATTTGGGCCGAATTCTGGCCCGTTGCACCCCAAGCCCTGCCTCTGCTCGGCGCCCTGCACCAGCAGGCAAGGAACCACCTCTGTCCACATCTGCCCTCGCGCAAAGCCACCGCGTACAGGTGACCAACCCTGCCATCCCCGGCGGAGAGATGGACAAGCACCCAGCAGCATCTGCCAGGGGTCTGTCCCCCCCCAGCCTCAGCCCCTGCTTCCAGGGAGCGCCAACCCCCGGCACGGAGAGGGAGGAACTGAAGGGCACAGCCACTCCTTTTTACTTCCGTATTTCAGCGGTATTTTTCAACCAACAGATTCTACTTGCAAAACTGAGGTTTATTAAGAAGAGCATTAGGAAAGGTATTTTCTCCTGTCAATAAAGTGACTTCAAATTAGTTGGAATTTTAAAATTAAAAACACACCCTAAGCTTTCTTGAAATCACTCTGGTTTTGAAAACAGACTTTTTTCCCCCTGTGACCTCTCCTGGGTTTTCCCTCTCTCTCCTGTTCTCTTTTCACCATGTTTTCGTTTAAAAATTCATCAGGCCAGGGAAAAAATCCAGGGCAGGAAAAAAGGGGAGAAGAAAAATAAAAGGCGGAAGAAACAACTGTGGCTTTTGCAACCCCATCTCCGCGCAGGGGAGAAGCAGCGCTCCAGACTTGCCTTCCTCGCCTTGGAAAGCGAGAGGGGCTCAGAAGGACGAGGGAATATCACACACTACCAACCTCCCGCGCAACCCCGGCGGGCGATGCGGCCTCGCCGACCCTCCGCAGAGGCCCCCTGGCGAACCGCGGCCCCCCCAGCACGGCAGCCAGCCTCAGCCAGGGGAAAAGGGATGGATGGGCCAGGAAAACCACCCCACGTGTCAACGTGGGATGCAGCTCGCTCCAGCACTGACCGTAAACCCCGGCTGCTGCTCCCAGCTGAGCTAGCAGAGGTCTGAAAAGCTCACAACGGGGCTCTCGCTCCAACGAGCCAAGTACCAGCGTGCGTCCAGCCCCGGTGCGGCTCCGAGCTGCGTGCTGGTTGGGGCGAGGGACGTCCCACCCGCACTTTAAGAACATAAGTTTCAATGCTTTACTTAAAAATGTGGGAATCTTGGAGCAGTACTAGGACCTGGCTGGAGATCACATCACTACATGTCAGCAGAGCAGCTGGCAGCAGGGGAAATGCAAGAGCACGGTCTCAGTCTGCATGCTGGGATGCTCCCAGCCCGCGGTGATCCTGCTCCGCAGCAACGGAGCTTCCCGCTGCAGCGTGCCCGTTAGGGACAGCTGCTGCGCTCTCCGCGCAGGACACACCTAACGTCTGCTTACGGGCGAGAACGCTCTGCAAGGGCATGAAAAGCTATATGGAAATGGAAGATCATTACCACGATCTCCTTGGAAACATCCCATCGGAGCAAGTTTTTTCTTCCTCCTTCTCCCTCCCCATGTGCACGAATCCTGGCACCCCGTGCAGCGCCTGGCGCTGCCTCAGCACTGTGGGTCCAAAACGCAGGCGTCTGATTTCTAAAGCCATTGTCTAGGATGTGCTATTGAGCTGCAAAACATGGATGGTTTGGGATGGAAAACAGGCATCTCCTGCAACACAAAAAGAAAGCAAGTTTTTTCTTCCTCCTTCTCCCTCCCCATGTGCACGAATCCTGGCACCCCGTGCAGCGCCTGGCGCTGCCTCAGCACTGTGGGTCCAAAACGCAGGCGTCTGATTTCTAAAGCCATTGTCTAGGATGTGCTATTGAGCTGCAAAACATGGATGGTTTGGGATGGAAAACAGGCATCTCCTCCTTCACAAAAAGAAGCTGGCAACCCAGATTTGATTTGTCTTTGAAGCTATAGAGAATCTCAACCAAACAAAATCTGCTTTATTCCCAAAAAGGGAATGAGAATCTTAGCAACAAAACAAATCAGCACCTCTGCCCCCTGAACGCAACGATGAGCAAACCGAGAGCAGAGCAAAGGGAACGCGGCTTCGCCCCGCTGGTCGCTGCTGCGGCGCAGGGCGGCTGGTTTCGGAAAGCAGCACGGCAGCATTGTATGCGTTAACACGCTCCACTTGGGAATGCCAGGTTGGAAAAGCTGCTTTGCAAATTTACTTTTGAATCGGAGCTCTGGGTTTCTCTCCTTGCGTGCCGTTACGTTTTGCGAGCGCTCACGCAGCCTGTTCAAGGCAGAGGGATTTTCAGGAACCCCAAGAGTTCCACCAGTTTTCGCACAATGACTATTTGCCAAGGAAATCACCCCGGAAAATTTATTACTTGCTACTCGCTTTCAAAAGCGAGCGGGGCTGGGAAGCGTACAGCAGTGCAAACAGCAGCTGAGCTGAGATTTAATCCTGCCCCCAGGTTTCTGTACTTTCCCCACGACTAATAAGCTATCTGACGGGAGGCGACCTCCCACGGCAAGCAACGCTGCCACGCCGCATTCTGCTGGCGGAGGGTTTTTGGAGCAGCTTTAAAATCCCAACCTGCTGGCCCCGCTCTGCACAGCCCTGAAAGCATCTCGCAGGCTCCAGGCAGAGATTCCCTCGCTCATCCCCCACGCTGCTTTATGAGTGGGGCCGTTCCCCTCCCCGCGCAGGAACCGGCCACATGTTCTCCATCTGGGAGCAGATGCCCACGAGCCAATAGCTCAACTTGGGAAACTAATTGAAAATAGCACAAAATTTCTGAGTGCTCTACAGACCGCGGCCGGATGATGGGTATTAGTGCTCCAGCAGCACCGGGACGCTGTTTGGCACAGCTCAGCAAAAGCACAGCTAAAAAGGTTCAGGGAAATGAAAATGAGATGGCTGAAGGTGCTGCTGCCTAAGCGTCCGCCCTCTTCCAGATGTTCTTGCCTGTAAGGGAGGAGGGTCTCGGTCTGCTGGTACATCAGTCCCCAGACTGCTGCTGTGCTAGCCTGGAGTATTGACGGACACCAGCTCTGCCCCCCCCTCCATCCCTGAAACCACTGGGGGACATTCTGGTCTCCAAGGTAAAACCGAACAGCCGCAGGGCTGCTGCGGCTCCGTCAGGCTCCACTGGCTCCGTTACGGCGGTGGCTGGGGACGGCGGCGCGATGGGCCATGCCTCTTGTGCTCTGACACAGGGCAAAGTCCTGGGGAGAAAGGCTGAGAGGCGGCACGGGGCAGGAACCCTCGCTGCCCTGTCAGAGCTGTGCCTGCGGCATCACCGGCGCAGCACCGAGGAAAAGGAGGTCTGGGGTTTGTTCTGGGTCCTGCCGTTCCCCGCAGGGTCAGGACGCAGACAGCTTTTGCGTGCATTTAACCACTCGACAGCAGGAGACAGGAGGTCCAGACAGTGATATATCCAGCCTCAAATCAACCGGGGGTGAGCCATCAAAATGGAATTTGCCAAAAGACAAAGTACTGATGATCTGTGAGCCCTCAGCTACGTACAGCCCGAGGCACAAAAGACTCACGTCTGCAGCTGGGAGTCAGGCAAATGCTGGTGCTTCCCCTTGGCCAGCGATCACACAACACGCTCTCCAGGCCGAGCAGGATTTTAACCCCGTGCCAAGTCTATGTGCATGTTCTTTGGGAGACAAACCACCACCACCAGGAGCCAACGGGTCCCTTGCACCCTGGCACCTCTGCCCCCAGGACCCCTTGCCCACAGAATCACAGAGTGCCCTGGGCTGGAAGGGACCTTCAGAGGCCACCCCATCCAATCCCCCGCAGCAAGCAGGGACATCTTCACCTCAGGTTGCTCAGAGCCTCGTCCAGCCTGGCCTTGAATCGTTCCAGGGACAGGGCATCGACCGCCTCTCCGGGCAGCCTGGGCCAGGGTTTCACCACCCTCATCGTAAAAAAATTTCTTCCTTCTAGCCAGTCTGAATCTCCCCTCTTTTAGTTTAAAACCATTCCCCCTTGTCCTATCGCAACAGGCCCAAGGTGCGACACAAGGCCTGTCCAAGGCAACTCCAACTCCCTGGAAAGGTTTCCATTACGTTTTTAAATGAACCGGGGGTCTGTGGGAGACACAGGAGTGCAGGGCAGCCATCTTCCACCACGCTTGGTGGCTGGAGCAGCCCCAGAGCAAAGCCCATGGGCTGTCCCCATCGACACCCCACCGCTGCTTGACCTCGGCAGCCTTGCCCTGACCTGACCCAGCAGGACATGCCAAGCACCAACACAGTGAGACTCTTCACTCCCACCTTTCTGCCTGCAGCCACGTCAAGCCCAGCGAAGCCCGGCCGCGGCGTGAGGCCAGCTCCTCGGGAACCAGCACACGCCTCTCTGGGCTCACAGCAGCGACATTTCTGGGACGCTGTCTGTCCATCTTCCCTGCCGGGATGGGGAGAAAGCTGAGCTTCATTGTTTCCCTGGCTTTTGCTCTGTGCATTTGGAGTTTGGAGCTGCCTCCTCGTCACTCCCTTGGTGCAGTGAAAGCCAGGAGGCTAAAGGCAAGGTGGCTGCAAAAGGCCATGCCTGGGTGGCCGTGGGTCCTGTGCTCATGGTGGCCGCAGAGCCAACGGCCCCGCGTCGGTCCTGCCCTGGCAGAGCTGGACTGTCCCAGGTCCCAGCCACAATTTGCCAGATGCCCTTCCTCCTGGTTTTAACATGGGGGGACTCAGTTGTCCCCAAACCTGCAACGTGGGGGCTGCCCAGCCAACGGCCCCGCGTTGGTCCTGCCCTGGCAGAGCTGGCCTGCCCCAGGCCCCAGCCACAATCTGCCAGATGCCCTTCCTCCTGGTTTTAACATGGGGGGACTCAGTTGTCCCCAAACCTGCAAAGCAGCACTCCCACCTCGGATCCTGCCAAAACGTCCCTGCCTTGCCCAGTTCCACTGCTGCCAGCTTTGTTCCTGACGCTGTACTCGCCCCGGCAAAGCCTGCTA